ATATATATATATATATATATATATATATATATATATATATATATATATATATATATATATATATATATATATATATATATATATATATATATATATATATATATATATATATATATATATATATATATATATATATATATATATATATATATATATATATATATATATATATATATATATATATATATATATATATATATATATATATATATATATATATATATATATATATATATATATATATATATATATATATATATATATATATATATATATATATATATATATATATATATATATATATATATATATATATATATATATATATATATATATATATATATATATATATATATTTGTTTTCAGTGAGGACTGTATGTTTTGAATGAGAAGCTGTAATGTAGCGGTGGTGGCGGGATAAATGTTGGTGTGGCGCCCTGCCAAGGAAGAATGAATGTGAAACCGTGTGTGTGTGTGTGTGTGTGTGTGTGTGTGTGTGTGTGTGTGTGTGTGTTTGTGTGTATACAATTGAAGTCAGAATTATTAGCCCCCCTGAATTATTAGACCGCTTGTTTATTTTTTTCCCAGTTTCTGTTTTACGAAACACATATTGCTTAAAGGGGCTAATAATATTGACCTTAAAATGGTGTTTAAAAAATTACAAACTGCTTTTACTCTAGCCGAAATAAAACAAATCAGACTTTCTCCAGAAGAAAAAACATTATCAGACATACTGTGAAAGTTTCCTGAATCTGTTAAACATCATTTGGGAAATATAAAAAAAAATAATAATAATTCACAAGGGGGGCAAAAAATTTTGACTTCAACTTTATAGCACAACTGAGCCTAAATTCATTTAAAAAAAGAGATATTCTCATTAAGAGAGATATATTAATAATATAAATTATAATTATATATTATATTTATATAATAATTATAATTATAATATAAATATATTTTTATTTTATCTAAATCTAAATTTTTTATTTATCTATTAATTTGTTTTTTTTTAAGTAAAACAAATTATTAGTCAGTTTTTTTTAATAAATCAATAATATTTTTATAATTTTGAAACTTTTACATTTTATTATTTACACAATTAAGACTTTTCTCCTCCCATTTTTTTCTTCTGACAACTCCTACATTTATTTACACAAGTCTAGCTTTAATCCATTAATGTTCTATTCATTTGTATTTTATTTTTCACAGTAAAACTAATTATGCTTAGACATTGTCTTAACAATACTTTTAATATTTCAACATGATTTTAAGCATAAATTTATTTAAATTGTAATATTTTTATAAAGACAGATTCATTTAAATGCTTAAACCGACATTAAATTAGACACAGATTTAAATGCACACACATTTATAAACACATTAAAACAGATTATTTAACAAGAACAAGAGTGCTGTGATCCTACCATTTAAAATATATCCTATCAATATATGTTTTATATTCTGAGATTTATTGATTCTGTTAAAGACATGTACGTTGTCTTCTTTTGACATTGAAGTGTAATAGAACTGAGAGTATGCCGATCTGTTCCTGAAGAGCATCATTTGATAAGCGAGTCTCTTGACACCTGCTATTTCCAGACTGCAGCTTTATTTCAGTGCTTCACCATGAATAGATTCCCCTCATTAAATCACCTTACATCATCTTTATTACCTGCTTTCCAGAAAGATCCTGAAGGTCTCGCTGGGATTATCTGTGAGAATCCTCAGTATCTTGATGATAATGCGTGACCTGACTCTGCTTATATAATCTTTACACTCTATTATCACCATGCTGAAGTGCACAGGTTTATGCTCAAATCAGCTTCAGGGCTTTAGGAAACACAATCCGACAGCTTCACGGAGCAGAGTTTAGATTAAAGCTGAGCAGAAAGTCAACAAGACTATATGAAACAAACTCTTCAGAGAGTTACATCATAATTCATACTTAACAATCAGGACTGCTATGATTTACATTACACAATACTGACTTTGATGAGTTTTCCTCTTTCAAGACTCAGTTTTATCCACACAATTATGACATTTCTGCACACAATTTAGACTTTTATTCTCAGAATTATGACCTCTTTGAGCTCCAATTATTCTAACAATTCAAGACGTTTCCACAATTCTGACATTCCTCCCCACAGTTATGGCTTTTCAGCTCACAATTCTGACGTCACTCATTCAGTTTCCTTCGGCTTAGTCCCTTTATTAATCAGAGGTCGCCACAGTGGAATGAACCACCAACTATTCCAGCATATGTTTAACACAGTTGATGCCTATCCAGCCACAACACAGTACTGGGAAACACCCATACACACTCATTTACACACACTCATACAGTACGGCCAATTTAGTTTGGACTCACAATTCACCTTTGGCCAGTGGGGGAAACCGGAGCACTCAGAAGAAACCCACGCAAACACAGGGAGAACATGCAAACTCCACACAGAAACACCAAATGACCCAGCCGGGACTCAAACCAGCAAAATTCTTGCTGTGAGGCCACAGTGCTGACCACTGACGCCTAATTCAGTCATTTGTTCTTGAAATGATGACCTTTTCTCTTTTAACTCCAATTATTCTCTTCGCAACTTTTTACAACTCGGACATTTCTGCCAACATTTCTGACTTTCATCCTTACAATTAAACGTTTATTTACACAATTCTAACTGTTCTGCTAACAATTCCAACCATTATCCTCAAAATCACAACATTTTCTCTTTAAAGTCCAGTTTTTCTGGTAACATTTCCAACTTGTCTTTATAATTTTGACTTTTAGCCACACAATTCCAAACTTTGTTCTTATTTCAAACACATGCGCTTTAGGGGAATTGGGTAGGCTAAATTGTCCGTAGTTTATGTGTGTGATTGAGTGTGTGTGGATGTTTCCCAGTATTGGGTTGCAGCTGGAAGGGCATCTGCTGTGTAAAACATATGCTGGATAAGTTGGCGGTTCATTCCGCTGTGGTGACCCCAGATTAATAAAGTCAATCAAAAAAATGAATGAATGAATAATACAGTTGAAGTCAGAATTATTTACCCTCCTTTGAATTTGTTTTCTTTTTGCATTTTTCCCAAATGGTGTTGAACAGATTCAGGAAATGTTTACAGTATGTCTGATAATATTTGTTCTTCTAGAGAAAGTCTTATTTGTTTTATTTGGGCTAGAATGAAAGCAGTTTTTAATTTTAAAACACCATTTTAAGCTCAATATTATTTGCCCCTTTAAACTATATATTTTTTCGATAGTCTACAGAACAAACCATCGTCATACAATAACTTGCCTAATTACCCTAACCTGCCTAGTTATCCTAATTACCCTAGTGAAGCCTTTAAATGTCACTTTAAGCTGTATAGAAGTGTCTTGAAGAATATCTAGTCTAATATTATTTACTGTCATCATGACAAAGAGAAAATAAATCAGTTATTAGAGATGAGTTATTAACACTATTATGTGCAGAAATGTGCTGAAAACATCTGCTCTCCGTTTCGGGGAAAAAAACAGGGGGGCTAATAGATCAGGGGGGCTAATAATTCTGACTTCAACATGTTTTTTTTAATTTATTATGCATCATATTGATTTATCAGGCCTTTTGGTAACTTTTTTTCCCCCAAATTCTGACTTTAATTAATATCGTTATGCAATTTTTATTTTTGTATCAAGCGGTTATTTTTGAGGTCAAATCAAAAATTAAGGCCCCGCCCCTAATCAATATTCAGTTTCAGTTGCAAATACTTCTTTAAGATAAAATAAAAGTCTCAGCAGCATTTCCCAGAGATGGGTTGCAGCTGGAAGGATATCCGCTGCATAAAATATATGCTGGATAAGTTGGCGGTTCACTCCACTGTGGCAACCCCAGATTAATAAAGGAACTAAGCTTAAAAGAAAACGAATGAATGAAAAGTCTCAGCAACTTCCAGTTGATAAAGTGCTCCACATTATTGACTGAATGTGACACACATATGAGGAATATATGAGGTGATCAATCACACATATGTGGGAATCTCACCTTTCTGTGTGCGTCCGGTGTGTGTTCAGTCTTTGGCGGGTCAGACGCTTTAGTGTGTGCTTTATGGACGTCCGGTTCTGGTCCTGCTCCAATCGTCATGGCCAATCACACTGAAACAACACAGATATTTTCAGACGCTGAATCCGGAGACATTTTCACAACCGGCCTCCGTTTCTCCGTCACTGGAAGCAGAATGCCGTAGGTTTATATTTAGCGTGATGTTTACGCCGCTGTACTGTATTTCTGAAAGCCAGCAGCTGAAGTATGTGACACTGAGGTCTTTATGTGCTCAAACACATTTAGACTGCAGTCGTGCTCTTTTCAGAGTGTCAGACACACCCACACACACACATAACACAACACAACACACACACACAATCATGTTTCAGAGACAACCCAAACAAACACTTAACAGATTACAATCATAAATGTGTGCAAACCTGTAATATAGACCTGTCATGATATCTTTATTTTGTTGTACGAAATATCGCACCAAAGTATATTGCGATAAACAATATTAATGTCATTTTCAGTAATGCCACTCATAATATAACGCCAGACAACATAATATCACCACAATGCTAGTACACTCTTCCAAACAACACATCATATTTTATTCTTAAGAATACTTCATTTGATTATACAGTGCATCCGGAAAGTGTTGACAGCGCTTCACGGTTTCCACATGTGTTTATGTTACAGCTTTACCTCAAAATGGACTGAATTGATTGATTTCCTCAACATTCTACACACAATCCCCAATAATGACAATGTGGATAAAGAGTTTATGAAATTGTTGCAAATTTATCAACAATAAAAAAGCTGATAAATCAGATGTACATCAGTATTCACAGGCTTTGCTCAATACTTTGTTGATGCTCCTTTGGCAGTGATTACAGCCTCGAGTCTTTCTGAATATGACGCCACAAGCTCTGTACACCTGTCTCTGGGAATGTTTGCCCGTTCCTCTTTGCAGGACCTCTCAAGCTCTATCAGGCTGGATTGGAAGTGACGGTGTACAGCCATCTTCAGATCTCTCGAGAGATGTTCAATAGGATTTAGGTCTGGGTTCTGGCTGGGCCACTCAGCGAGTTGTTGCTGTGGCACTCCATTGATATGTTGGCGGTGTGCTTTGGGTCATCGTCCTGCTGGAAGATGAAGCGTCGCCCCAGTCTGAGGTGGAGAGCACTCTTGTGCAGGTCTTCATTCAGGATGTCTCTGTACATCGCTGTATTCATCTTTCCCTCTATCCTGACTAGTCTTCCAGTTCCTGCTGCTGAAACACATCCTCCCCACAGCATGATGCCAACACCACCATGCTTCACTGTAGGGATGCTGTTAGCCTGCTGATGAGCGCCGCCTGCTGTTCTCCACACGTAACGCCTGGCGTTCACTCCAAACAGTTCAGTTTGAGTCTCATCAGAGCAGAGAGTTTAATATCTGATGCTCTGAGAGTCCTTCAGATGGCAAACTCCAGGCGGGGAGTGTCTTCCGTCTGCCCGCTCTACCATACAGACGCCTGATTGGTGGATTGCTGCACAGATGGTTGTCCTTCTTTAAGGTTCTCCTCTCTCCACAGAAGAGCGCTGGAGCTCAGACAGAGTGACCATCGGGTTATTGATCACCTCCCTGACTGAGGCTCTTCTCCCCGATCACTCAGCTTAGATGTCCGGCCCGCTCTAGGAAGAGTCCTGCTGGTTAAACATCTTCCACTTACGGATGATGGAGGCCGCTGTGCTCACTGGAGCTGTCAGAGCAGCAGAAATGTTTCTGTCACCTTCCCCAGCCTTGTGCCTCCAGACAATCCTGTCTCTGAGGTCTACAGACAGTTCCTTTGTCTTCATGCTTGGTTTGTGCTTTGACATGCACTATCAACCCTGGGAGCTTATATAGACAGGTGTAGCCTTTTCAGATCATGTCCATCAGCTGAATTGAGAACAGGTGAACTCCAATGAAGCTGCTGAGACATCTCCAGAATGATCAGTGGAGACAGAATGAACCTGAGCTCAGTTTAGAGCCTGTGAATACTGATGTACATCTGATTTATCAGCTTTTTTATTTGTAATAAATTTGCAACAATTTCAAAACCTCTTTCTTCACATTGTCTTTATGGGGGATTGTGTGTAGAATGTTGATGAAATCAATCAATTTAATCCATTTTGGAATAAGGCTGTAACATAAAAACATGTGGAAAAAGTGAAGCGCTATCAATACTTTCCTAATGCACTGTAGACATTTGAACAGTTTGATAATCAGGCATTGAAATCAGAAAGTGAATACACACATCCTAAATAAATAATATTAGATATTAACATAACTCAGACCGGCGAGGCAGTGGCGCAGTAGGTAGTGCTGTCGCCTCACAGCAAGAAGGTCGCTGGTTCGAACCTCGGCTCAGTTGGTGTTTCTGTGTGGAGTTTGCATGTTCTCCCTGCCTTCGTGTGGGTTTCCTCCGGGTGCTCCGGTTTCCCCCACAGTCCAAAGACATGCGGTACAGGTGAATTGGGTAGGCTAAATTGTCCGTAGTGTTTGAGTGTGTGTGAGAACGTGTGTGTGAATGTTTCCGAGAGATGGGTTGCGGCTGGAAGGGCATCCGCTGCGTAAAAACTTGCTGGATAAGTTGGCGGTTCATTCCGCTGTGGCGAACTCGGATTAATAAAGTGACTAATCTGACAAGAAAATGAATGAATGACTCAGACCGCCTGTTTTTTTGTGATTTCATGATCAAAAATTAACAAAAGTTGCAATTGTTAGTGATTTTTCTAAATTCTTAAAGGGTCACGAAACACCAGAACACATGTGTTGAGCTGTTGACAGTGGTATATGTGTCCCACACTGCTATAAACACTATTAGGACACCTATATTTCACTAAAAAGTGTAAATTGGTTGTTTTTGCGTTATTTCAAGCAAATTGGTACTTCCGGTTTGAAACAAATTTTTGAAGCTGCGTCACGGTCATGACATAATAGCGTGTATTCCAGCGTGTAGACTGGACATCTGTGCCAGAGTTAGTCTTATTACGTCTTACAGTGTGCTGCATTAATGCATGAGTAAAGCTTTGTTCAAACCAATCAGCGCGCTCTATTGTGCAACTTCATTAATATTCATTACTGTCACAGTGTTTAGACGACAGAGACGCCACGTTGTGTTGGCAAAACAAGCGTGAAGTGTTGCTTTTATAGTTTGCTGCAGTGAAGTTTTGTTTTCATTTTCTCTCTGTGAGAGCTCAGCTGGAGTCACGTGTGGATTAACAGTGTACGCGACGCTCGACAACAATAACTTACGTGTCTAAGGAGGATTATTGTTTACCTGAGAGCTGTTCTCATCTGCAAACGCTGAGATCCGGATTCGCTTGTAGTCTCCTCTTAATAAAGACGCGGCTCTAGTTGCTGGTGATTGTCCTGTCTCTACAGATTTGGTGAGTGAGCGGCCAGTGCTCTTTGTTTATTCAGTTTGTTCGTATCGAACTAACTATTGCACAGAGTGTAAACATGTTAGCACAACAACCAAACTTTAACCTCGTGTAGGGTTTTTTACCGCATTTAGTGACCGGAATAACACACGCGGCTTTCTGACGCTACCTGCCGTGTGCATCTAAGTTTCCGGGAAATGCGGAGGGTTTTTTTTTTTCTCTCATTCGCCGTGCGGTATCAAACATTGCATGAAAAATACACGCTTAGAGCAGTTCCTCCAATCAAATATCTCGTTTGTCGCGAGGGACATGAATGAATTCCCTGAATGAAAGAGCCAAACTGCAGTTAAAGTCCACCATTTAATAATTTGGCAAATAATTCGTCTACAGATGTCCATGTAGGTTAAACACCATCACTTTTTCCTGTGTGTGTCTGTGTGTATTTTAATTCTGAAACTCGCGTGTGCCCAAATAGACACTCCTACACCATCCCACTTTTCTTTCTCCGACACTCCCCCCTAAACAGAGCTGGACACGCCCACTTTTCTGACTTTTTCCAAAGAGGTGTGAAAACACCCTGCTGAAACGAGGGGGTTTCATGGCCCTTTAATTAAACGCAAAATAATTAAATAATCTCATAAAACATCCAATTCAAAACCATATAATCAAATTATATTTATTTCAGTTTGCAATGTATTGTTTTACATGACTTATAGACGTCGCATAAGCAGCTCATGGGATGTACACTGCAAAAAATGCTTTTCTTGCTTAGATTTTTTGTCGTGTTTCTAGTCTAAATATCTAAAATTTCTTGTTTTAAGAAGCATTTTATAGACAAATTAATCTTGTTTTTTTTCTTTTGACGTAAGATTAATTTGCTCACCCCATTGGCAGATTATTTTGCTTGTTTTAAGGAAAAACTCACTTAATATTGGCATGTTATTTCTCAAAACAAGACAATATGTTTTGCTTGTCTAAAAAATTCTTCTTGATTTAGGAATTTTTAGATATTTGGACTAAAAACAAGACAAAAAATCTAAGTAAGAAAAGAATTTTTTGCAGTGTATTTGAATGTCTCTCGAAAAATGACGTTACCTGCGCCCTTACAATCATTACAATGTGTTTACAGCAGAGTTTATCTGCATTTATTCTTATCTAATAGAAAGTTTATCTCACTAACTTGTGCACTTCAGCTTGTTATGCACATTTTAGCATACATGTGCATCTTTTAATTTTCCATCATCCATTTCCATGCAATATTCCAAAATGCACATTAAAAATGGATGGATGGAAACTCCGCTAGTTCTGATTCTGTGTGTGTTTCTGGAGCTCAGCGGTGTAAAACCGCAGGAAAAACATGACTGCGTTCTGTCAGAGAGATTCTGTGAACTTTAATGGCCCTGTGCTGAAATGTAGGTCAAACTGCAGCGCAGGAATAACCGGAGCGAACGGCCCTGCAGATCTGCTCAACATTAAGGAAAACAGAGAGACGTCAGCAGAAGAAGCACTTGCTTCAAAGGGGATATATTATGCAGAAATGACTTTTATGTGGGGTTTAAACCTAGATGTGTGTGTGTGTGTGTGTCAGCAGTGTGTGGATATCTCCAGCAGTCTCTAATGCTCAACATGAATTAATTGTTTGTTCTAATCAGACTTGATGCACAAACACTTTGATTGACATTCTCCCTTTGTGTGTG